CCTGACTTAGATCAGCCCAGAGGTTGTTTCAGTGTTTGATCTGTGACTGATCTCACTTACCACTACTGCATGTACGGTTATGAATACTAGCACAATCGTAAATGGCATAACGAAAGCACCAAGACTACCTGCATCCTCTATGAAACGTGTTATAATATAGAACCAATAAAACGCGTAACCAGCGACGCCAAGAAAGCCCATCCCAATTATCAGCAAGAGAACAGAAATAACCAGAATTACACACTGAAGTAATGCCATAGTTTCGATCTTCAACTGATTTAAAGATTCYGCTATAAAGTGAGAACCCTCACACCTTTGAAAATGTGATAAATTTTGACTACTTGAGGGTAGATATTTTATAAACACTCTGCTCAAGTAAATCGATGCTGACAACTCAGATTTGCTGATCAAAACAGCACAGAACCTCTGGAAGATTAAAATGTAATGAAAGATAACGTAGCTGCTCTAAAAGAGAATTCGTTTATGATTTTTGAATATCTCTTTCGGGTAGTTTTTCCGCCTTGGCGCAAATATTCATCAATTATTTTCCAATATGACAATGATTTATTTCAAAACTCATTCAAAGCGAATTCCAATCTCTGTAAACTAATGAACAATTCGTATAACTTGTTGGATGACGACGAAACCATAGCTGGAAGCAGCCGTCTTGAATGTTCAGTTTTGAATGCGTGCCTGATTTATTCTTTTTTAACACGATGTGATTCTTTAACCAATTAATTCCAACTACGAACAACTCTAACTTTATTGAGGTTTTTTTTTACTGTAACACTTTCTTTTTTAACTTTTCTTTTTATCAGAAAAAAGAGTGTGCAGCGAAAATTGAAATCTTTCTTGAAGATCGTCGATAATCCAGAAAGCGTACGAAATTTTTTAACTTACAAAAATACATTTTTCTTGTAAAATTTCATGTTTAACACGAGTCTAAATAGTTTACGTGCGAACTTCACGAAACTTTTATTAACATCTTTATGACAACTTTGAATATCACTCCTTTTTCAAATCAAGACAAATTTCTCTACAGCGTACGAGACGTAAACAATCTTTTAAGCATCTTTTAAAAGCATCTGCCATACGTAAAGGTACATGTCATTCCTGAGGTCAAATGGGCTTCCTGTGGTAAAAATGCGACTGGGATTTCTTTGCCCACAAAATTTACCCCTGAGACCCCCCCTTCAAAAAAAACCTGGATCCGCCCTTGAGCATAGTGTTTTGAAGGAAAACGTTTTTTTTTTTTTTTCTTCATAATTTTAAACTTTTATCTTTCATATGTTTGTAAAACTTCTTGCAATTTTTGATTCGAAAAGCCAAAATTTGAGAAAAATCGAAATCCTGACTTATCAAGACCGGAAATGTACCGTCGCTTAATATATGCACATTTGTCATGCTCCTTTGTCATTGTAAAAAGATCCTACATTGCGATCGTCCAGAATACCAGATCATTTGACAAGTGATGACAAAATGGAAGGCTCAAGGTGTTTTGGCCAACACCATCGTTGCTCCCTGCAGCTTCCGGCTCCAAACAAAGAAATGTGTTTTTCTCGAATCTTTTTTGCCGCTAAAACCTCAACTTCAAAAAGCTAAAAGTCCCTTGGATTTCATTCGATTTTTTAAAAATTTGTTGAGTTTATAAAGTAACTCATGATCCAAAAAAGAGTGTCTCCGATTTTTGAAATTTAATTTCTTTCCAAAGTTATGACGCTTTTTACTCTAAACAATACTCCGAAAGCGATCGCTGAACTTTGATCAAAACAGATATCAAAAATCTTGGACACCATTTCTGAGCTTATTATCTCCTGAGTATGTTAAGCCATTTTTCGCAAACATAGCTTAAAATGTACGTGTCCGTTAACGTTTTCACTGAGGCATGGTCAAATTTCGCTTCGAGGACAATAATGTGAACAACAATAAAAAAAATCGTATTTTGAAAATTTCTTCATAAACTATATTTACTCGGCTTTCAGAAAATGTATACTTTGTTTGTGTTATACTATAAAGCCAGCGCGTTATTTAAGTTGGCGCGCACAGTGGTCGTAAACGTATCCTAATACCTTAATGCGTTTGAATGGAAAAAAATCTTATTCTCAAGAAACTTTTTCGAATTTTTTGGATCGAAAATTCAAAGGTTTTAGGATGGAAACAAATTCAACGTTTGTGGATTAAAAAAATCGAGGCAACCAATTTTAATGCGTTTAAATGGAACAAAAATTCAAAGCCTCACTGGCAATTTCATACAGCTTAAACAAAGAGTCTTATTCTCACTGGAAACTTTTTCGAAATTTTTTGGATCGAAAATTCAAAGGTTTTGGATGGAAACAATTTCAACGTTTGTGGATTAAAAAAATCGAGGCAACCAATTTTAATGCGTTTAAATGGAACAAAAATTCAAAGCCTCACTGGCAATTTCATACAGCTCAAACAAAGAGTCTTATTCTCAAGAAAAGGGTACGTGGTCTGAAATGGGAAAGCATTACCGTGACGCCCAACGTAGAAAGATCTATTTTCAGTGTGGAAACAATAACGACTTACTACTTTCTTTAGTCAAAGAAACTCTTTTTATGTTCGAATTCATTAACTTCAATAGAGTCAAATGTTCCTATGGTAACCAATCGTCAAGGTAACTAACTACCCACGTACTGGTCCTCGAAGATAAAGACTGAATGCGTTCAAGACTCATTCACTTGAAAATACAGTCGTTTTACCTTGGGAAAATAGGCTTAAAATCACTTAATTTTCAAAGCCATCCGCTACAACTAGCAGCCACGATAAGGTACGTACGTATATGTCGTTAACTAATGACCTCCTAAACTATTAAGCGCCAAAATTCGCCCCCTTAAACAATTTATATAACGTCCTTTTGACCAAAGTCAATGACCCCATTATATCCTTATACTATTTCATTTAATCCACAAAAAAATTATCTTATTCGCATTCATTTTTTACTAATACGCCAATAGACCAATAAAAAAGCTATTAACTTAGGCTTACAAATATAGAATTTGATTTTTCTCTCTGCCGTACTCGAAATTGCTATTTTTGAAAATGGATTACTTCGAAGCGCTTTTTTCTTTCACTGTTTTGCTTTGTTGACTCATAACTGACCATTCTCAAAATTAAGAAGTTTGGAAGGTACTTTTTCCAGATTAATTTCGTGATATTCTTATTTTTATTTTCCTCTTTGTTTGCCTCTATTGCAAGATTTAAATTCCCAAAGGCTTTCACAAAGATCAGAAATAATATTCGCCAATTTTCGGTTCAGTTGTAGAACCGTAACACGCTAATTCCAATTTCAGTTTGTGAGTTAGCCGTGCACTGACTTAGATCCGCAAAGAGGTTGTTTCAGGATGATCGGTAAAATGTGAAGGTTCTTGATTCTGAATGTCATTTTTCTTGATTCTTACGCGCGAAATAAGCGTCGTTTGACGCGCACAATTAAATAATCATCTAATGTTAACATTTATCGTTGGAATTAATAATTAAAACTAAAGAATCATGCCAAGGTCATGGAAACGCAATAGAATAGTCCCTATTCTCATTTAGCAAACACCGCTGTGTTCCTTGACAACAGACTCATTTGCAGAACATGGGTTTCGGCGTCGCTTACTACTCTTTTCTTTGCCGACGCGCTGATCGAGATATAAAAGCAATATTTTGAGGGAGACGATTTTAGACTAAATGAAATATGTCAATCTTCTAAAATCTTTAAATTATCCCAAAACTTCCCTCAAGACATAGTTTTTCTTATTGATTCAATAAAATAAAATAATTGGTATCTCTATACATTAGCGACCATTAGATACGACGACGAGTACGAGATCGAGTACGAACTTTTAAATTGGTCCTGTGCTCGTGGTTAACACTAAATCGTAGTTGATTTCCAATTTTTTACAATCTGAAGTTTCAATCTACGTACACGATCACGACTACAAAAAGATAGTGCCTCTCTTTAAAAGTTAAACACTCGTACTCGTTCTCGTACTCGTCTCGATCAGCGCGTAGCAGTGAAATGAGAGGTAATATGAATATGTAATGTATTCAAGTTATATGATAATAACTAATGCTAACTTTAAATCTTAGTTAGTTCATTCCAAAAGCTCTCAATCCGCTTTACAACATTAAACCTTATACACTTATTTCAATAAAGTTAGTCACCTGAAAAGCTACAAAGCTGAGACCGACAAGGATTATGGGTAAATACATTTTACATGTTTCAACTGATTGTGATAACTGTTGATGGACTTGAGTTCTTCTACCAGTTACAAGTTCACCCCCTCTGAGCATCCTCAACTGCTGCAGTTTGTGTCAAAAGCTTTACTTGTTGGATATAGAACATTTCCCCATGATTCTCAGCGATCACAGCTTTCTAGGTTTTTGGTGACTAACTTTATTGAAATAAGTATATACAAAATACTATGAAATATTGATTGAAAATATAAACTATGTAAAGAATGTACAACTTGAAAAAGACCTATGTTTAAAACTATCTTAGTGGTATCTGTGAAGAGTTTTTGTCAGTTTGTCAAACTTTCCATGTTTAAGCTCTGAGTTTTTTGGGTTCGAGTTGAGTGAATGACGTCATATACCTCACTCGACCCATTCCCCTTGAGGCGAATGCTGGATACAACACTTTTAAAGAAAAAAAGTCGTAAAAAATCTCAATCTGTTCCCTTGAATATGAATAAATTATTTGAACAAGTGATTAGGTGTTTGGTGTTCGGTGTTGTATGTGAGTAGAGTYGTTTGTTGGTTCTCTCCTGTGCTTCGAGGGTTTTCCTAAATTCCTAAATTCTAATTAGATCACAGAATGAGGGCCACAGGTTTGTTAGCCAATGGCTATTAAGTGCTACCCTCGTGAAAAAAGGACGTTTTTTCATTGTTATTAGCGGAGTCTTTGGAGCGGAGATTGTTTCAAAGTCTGAGCGTTTTTTTGTTCAAGTAGAGCTTTAAGTATCTGTAACCAATATCGTTATCATTGAAATGCAACCCGCGATGTTTGATGTTTCGTTTGCCGACTAGAATATCAACTACTGTACCGTCAATCAATGAACTGCAATAAGAAAAACGATATCTTGAGGGAGGTTGTGAGATTTTAGAGGACAGAAATATTTCATTTAGTCTAAAATCGTCTCCCTCAAAATATTGCTTTTTTATGCCAGCGAACCGAGACATCAAACCTCACGGGTCTCACTTCAACGATATTCGTAGTAATGGTTGTTGAATGTATGTTGTAGTGGGCTGTTTGTACTTGTATATATTGCATGGAGGAAATATTTGATCTTGGTGATAAGTGTGGGCATATATTAATGACTTAGGGGAGTCAGGATGACGTGGTGGTAAAACGCTCGCCCCTCACCTCTGAGGTCCGGGGTTCGAATCCCAGTCACTCCATGTGAGCTGAGTTGGTTGGTTCTCATTCTGACTCCGAGGGTTTTTCCGGTCCACCGGTTTTTCCTCCCTCCTCTCAAAATCAACCCTAACTAATTCAAACTGGTTCGAGCTGTGCTCCGGGGTCATACATGGACTGTATAGCGGCTGTCAGAGGCGCCTTCACATGCTTTCAGTTCGATCCCGTTGAGCTGCGCCACTACTGTACTTGCGGTGGTGATAAGCGATGACAAGCTTTCTTAAAGTAGTAAATCAAGAGTGATATAGCGATAGTGCACTCGCTTCTCACCTCTTGGAGTCTATCACTCATACTCGTGTTAGTCTTCCGCGCAGCTGTTCTTAGCGTCGTCACTCAACGCAAATTTAAATTTAACAATTGAAATAATAAATTTGGAGAATATATATATTGATATAGAATATATATACACTCAATGGAAGAATCGTTGTCGGGTTCAGAAACATAGAACATAAAAGCTGAGATCGAAATGGCATATGGGAAATGACATAATTATTTTATAATTTATTCATTTGCGCCATCCATGCAGTCGGTTTAGAATGCCAAACGCGTATTAAAAACAGTGGATGATGCCACGGCTCGCCGTTCTCAGCATGCATCTAATTAACGTACTTCCCATGTGCCRTTTCGGTCTCAGCTTCTATGTTCTATGTTTCTGAACCCGACAACGATTCTTCAATAAGCCTGAAGCGAGATGACGTTTTACCCCCGACTCTATACCATAATAATAGTTTTTAAAATTCTTTCATATTAAAATTTTGGATTCCTTAGAGAACACAGGAACAATAGTCACAATTAAAAAACAAAAGCAGTGTGAAAAGGATTATGGTCTAGAGACGGGGGTAAAACGTCATCTCGCTTCAGGCTTATTGAGTGTATGCATATATAGAAACAAGCAGACGTCTTATATGGCCTTTTTACGTGACGCTTGATTTAAACGTCAATTTTCCGCCCTCTGATATAAACGTGTTTTTGTTTTAAGCGGTTCCACCAATCAGAGCGCGTGTAGTATCTCAACTATTTCATAAATATGTATCATATATATATTTAACGTTGTAGTTAACCAAAAGTAATTATCTATCATAAAAATTAACTAACGATTCTCACTTAGCAACTACAACTCAAAACAAGTGCATTCATAAATCAGCGTATCTTATCAGCGTCCTTCTACTATCATTGAGAATGCTACATAATAGTCCAAACGACTTGTTTATCAGCTTTCTTGATCTTTAATATTTATTTCTGACTAGCTGGTCGTGGTTAATTATGAAGATGATTAGCTTGAAAAGTGAATAAAGCTCGTTCGTTTGGTTCTAAGTTTTTTCTTTTGAGTTTGTAAGGGCTCTGAGCTACGAAGACCAAGGCCTCGGAGTTGAGTACGGTAAGGCGAGAGAGACAAGGGCAGGTTTTTTCAAACTTATTTTTAATCGATTTTTCGCTTAAAAAGCAATAGAAGCTTCCTGAATTCGTGCCATTGTCGCTAGCACTAAACAAAAGCTTCAAAAGCGCTTTTAGATTATATATTTCATCGGTATAAACGTGTTTGAAAAAGAGGTTATTTTACAAATAAAGAACCGATACTAGAAATCGTGGTAAAATATCGGGTCACTTTTAAATTGCAGGCAATACATCTCAGTCTTTTTGCATAAATACAAAATATTTTTCTTTACTTTGCATTGTGAATTGCAGCTCGAGTGATCGTGGTAGATTATAACGAGAGTCTTTTAGAAGCCAAAACACCGTTYGCCTTTAAATAATTTCAACATTATTATGGGTTATTCAATAAGTAGTCCTCATTTAAGGAATCCGTCAGACAACTTTTTGCAATAAATTTGCTATGATTCTCAAATTACCTTAATTTAGTATTGAATCGAAAAACGTTTTCTTTTTTCGTTTTTACTTAGTTTCTGCCATTATTGGCTTTCTCCCTTAATTCATTCTTCCTTTTTAGGCTTCTTTGTTATATTCTTCTTAGTTTATTGATTTCTTGCTTCCTTGCTTCCTTGCTTGCTTGCTTCCTTGCTTGCTTGCTTGCTTGCTTCCT